AGCAGGGACCTCTTTTTTTTGCATGTGTTTTTGTGTGGGGTCTCCACTGAAGATCCATACCTGACCTCTATCTGAGATTGGGGTCTGTTATGCATTTTGGATGGGCAACAGGTTTTGTTTTTTTTTTCATTTTAGGACCGGGGTGCCCCCAGATTTTGTGTATTTTTTTAGGGTGCTGGGACTGAGAAAGGTATCAATCACTTTTCTTGATGTCCATTCCAATGGCAGAATATCTGCTGGAAAGCTCGATACGGAACTTCCAGTTTCTATCCATTCCGGGCGCATCAAAAAGAAAAAGGCGGGCCAAGTCTTACAGTTCTCTTTAAGCCCGAGTAGAAAAGCCTGTCCCCTGCCAGCGTGCTGCTCTTTGTCCGATGCCCCATAGGTCACAGAGCTCCAAATCAGCAAGGAGCACAAGCTTCTGCTGATTGCAGAGTTGTAGGTCTGACCCAGCAGGTGGCATGTTGGATTTCTGCAGAGAGACCACTGCTTCCCCCACAGAGCGAGGGTTCTTCTCTGCAGCTGCTGGCAGGCAATGGGCTTTCCTATTCCGGCTGTGGCTGCTTTTAGTAAGAAAACCAGCTATAAGGCCTCATTCACACAAGAAAAAGGCGGCGTGCACAGCTCCGCGCAGGGCAGCTCCCGGGGAGGACAGGTGCTGCGTGTGATTAGTACGCAGCCCCCGTCCTTCTCTATGGGAGTAGGCGGCCGTACGCCCGTGCGGGTGTCCGTACTCGTACACTGACAGGATGGGTCCGAGCCGGGACACCCGTACCCGTACGGACCTGCACTAGGGGGTGAGCGTAGGTCGGCGTAGTCCCATAGAGAAGGATGAGGGCCGCGTACTAATCACACGCAGCACCTGTCCTCCCCGGGAGCTGCCCGATACGGCCGTGCACGCAGCATGGAGCTGTACCTGCCGGCCGATACCCGTGTGAATGAGGCCTAAGCCATTGAACGCCTTTTGTTTTGATGCACCTGGGATGCATTTAGCTCATTTATACTGAAGGTTAAGGCCTTGTTCACACCAAATGCAGAGCAGATCCGGTCAGGTTTCTGCACACGCACGCTAGTCTTTTAGATGCGTTTTTGGCTTTAAAAAAATAATATATATTTTTTTTCCGTTAAACATGGGCTTTCAGTGCGTTCCAGGCATTTGCATGCGTTTGCAGATCCAGAGCAGGTAAAATAGGGCCTGCTGCAGTTTTTTTTTTTACCTGCTCTGGACCTGCACACTGCGATGTGAACTGGAGCTAAAAATACCATTGGAATACATTGGACGCAGTTTTGATCCGGTCTGCACCGGCTCCGTGCTTGGTGTGAACAAGGCCTCAGACAAAACACACAAGTCAGCGATATGAAGAAACAACGTACGCGGTCTGTTCCAGTCTGTCTTTATTTCCATTCAGGGTTACAACACGCAACTTTAGTGTCACAAACACAATATACAGCACAAAGGGGTACCAGGCATGGGTAACTGGTGGGGGGACGGGGGTGTACATGAGAAGCGGGCAGTAATGACGTCGGCTGTGGGCATGGAGGGGACTTTAGTACCCAAAGTGCACAGGGAAGGGATGACCCTCATCTCAGCAATATTCTCATACATCCCGTCCCTCATCCAATCGTCACCAGAGATGGCCTAACCCTTTAAATGTCAACTGCGGCCAAAGTCCCAGCTCTCCCACAATGCCACGGGGCAGTCCCGTCATCCTTCTAAACGATTAAACCCCGCGTCACCGATCCCTATTATTGTGCGAGGATAGAAATAAATGCGTTGCAATGTGCAAAAACGTCACAGATTGCTAAAAGGAAATCTAAAACTAACCAGAAGCTTAAAAACGGTGCCGTGTACCTAACGCTCTGCGGAAAAATCAATTTCCCCGCCAGAAGAGTCGGAGGACTCAATGTTTTGTTCTGTCATAAAATGCTAAATACT